AAAAGTATACCCTTTTTAAATATGCTCTCTCAAGCGGCATGCCGATTCTCTCATCTCTATTTCATAACTAGACCACAGTCCAAGAAGAAAACAACTTTGAGAGCAAATGAAAAGGGGAAACAACCTAAAATCTCCATGGGAGCTGCTTCTCTACAAGAAACTAACCTCTCACTTTGTAGGAGTCTTCAGGAGGCATCATCAATGTTTATATTTAGGAAGTTCTTTTTCTTTAAGAGGAAATTACATTTTATGCATAGGAGGCTTTATCTCCCTCTCTCTCTAGAGGAACCATAATTCCCATATGGTGACCCAAATAGGGCACACGAATTCTCTACACTTCATCGTATTGGTGACCCAAATAGGGCACACGAATTCTCTACACTTTCATCGTATCACATAGCGGACATGAATTCTCTGCACTTTCGTCTCATATATATAAGATTAGGGGTCCAAAGTAAATAAGAAACTTCTTATTGATGCTACATATAGCACTTTCATCGTATCACATAGGGCACACGAATTCTCTGCACTTTCGTCTCATATATATAAGATTAGGGGTCCAAAGTAAATAAGAAACTTCTTATTGATGCTACATATATCTCAAAACCACGAGATAAATTCAAAAGTCATAATCATTTTGGATTTCTATTTCTTTTAGGAAACTTATCAATATAAATCTCAATCTCACAAAAATATGGGAATATCTCAATCTCACAAAATATGAGATTTCTTTATGTTGGTGATTTTGGATAGCACCCACAAAATATGAGATTTTCTTATGTTGGTGATTTTGGATAGCACCCACAAAATATGAGATTTCCTTATGTTGGTGATTTTGGATAGCACTAAATCCAATAATCTCTACCTTGATATCAAAATCACATGCTCACCATACCAACATCCATTGGATAGCTTCATGGATTATTCATCTTTTGTCAAATAAATTCATTTATCATTCTTGTTGAAAAATAATGTTTTAATCAAATTTCTCTACATCGAACTTTGTATCCGAAACCTTTACTGCCATACCGACAACCCAAAATCGGGCTCTGATACCACTTGTTGTGCGCATAAAGTCTAAACTCAATAGGTTGTTTTTTGACAAATAAAGTATGAGAAATAAAGCTTGAAACACAAGAACACAAAGATTTACATGGTTCACCTTAAAAGGGCTATATCCATGGGCACGACAAACTGAAATCCACTATACATCAAAGATTTTGGAACAAACTTCGACAAAAATACAGTCGAACAAATCCTTTTAAACCTGCTCTCCGAAATGGCACCATGCCGATTCTCCCATCCCTATTCCATAAGTAGACCATTGTCTAGTAAGAGAACAACTTTGAAAGCAAACGAGACTTTATCTCATTAAAAGAAGAAACAACCCAAAATTTTCATGAGAACCGCTTCTCTACAAGAAACCAATATCTCACTTTGTAGGAGGCATCATCAATTCATAAGAAGCTCTTTCTTTCTCACTGAAAAGAAAACAATCCAAAATCTCCATAGGAACCACTTCTCAATGTTTTTCTTCATAGGAAGCTCTTTCTCTCTAAGAAGAAATTGCATCTTATGTATAGGAGACTTTATCTCCATCTCTCATAAGGTGACCCAAATAGGGCATGTTTTCTTTCTCTAAAAATAGCCCATTATATAGAGAAAAGAGACTCACTAAAAAAGACTCACGTGTTGACCCTTTCTAGTCATTCTTTTATGGGAAAGTGGTCTTTATTTCTTTAAATATGAGTCTTCAAGTTAATCATAATCCAAATAGAACTTATCCAAGTAACCAACTCCTAAAGAATATCTAATTGGTTAATAACAATCCGACGTAATATCGAAATATCTCAATCCTACATAGGGAATATCTCAATCCCACATAATATAAGAATATCTCAATCCCACATAATATGGATCAATCTTAATCAATCCCACATATGAGATTTCCTTATGTGGGTGATTTTAGATAGCATTAAATCCAACAATCTCTACATTTATATCAAAATCACTTGCTCATTATGCCAACATCCATTAGATAACTTCATGGATTCTTCATATATTTCAAAACCATCAGATAAATCCAAAAGTCCTAATGTTTTTGGATTTCTATTTCATTTAAGAAACTTATCAATATAAATCTGAATCCCACAAAATATGAGAATATCTCAATCCCACAAAATATGGGATTTCCTTGCTTGTGTGGGTGATTTTGGCAAGCGCGGACATATAGAAACAATGGGAATAAATGGTATGGAACATGGTGGTTCAAAAATTTGGATGTTAAGGAATGAGTTGAGGAAGAGAATGACAAGTAGAGATTTGGAAAGGAATATATTTTCGTATTTTCTTTTGGGCAAACTTTCTATGCTTCCTCTACTAAATAAAATTTATATACTTCCCTCTATCCAACCGTCCATTCTAAATGGATGGCTGAGATGGCCCCAATCATAATGTCACATCTTAATATTATTTATTTTAATTATTTATTACTATATATATATATATATATATATATATATATATCCTTTTAATTTTGGGTCGGATCCAGACCCATTCAAGTTTGGGTCGCATAACTCTTTTTCCAGACCTTGACGTGTCCCGTTGCCAACCTCATTATCACCCAGCTCATTTTGACCTTCTTTTAGATATTTGGTGGTGGTGTGGGCACACACGTATGTGGGTAGGGCTATTGACGTGCAGTGCAAACTGAGCGATACTTCTACCAAACTATAGGGGTTGAGAGCGATCATAGGGCCAACTTCTTCCAAGCTAGAGGTTGATTAACCTTTAGTGGATCCAGACTGGCTTCGAAGTGGACGAAGTCCAAACCGTCTAGGACTAATGGAGCATGTCAGGTCTGGTTTGGGTGCGGATCTCGGTCCAACCAAACGAATTTTAAAAAAGATATACATGTTATTGGGTCAAACATGCAGAGCTAGCCTTGCTAGTGTGTGTTGGCCTCTAAACTCATCTAGTGGACTTGGCGGGTCAGGTCCATGTCTATCCTAACCATCTTGGTCCAGGTCCAATTTTGGGTCCTCCTTCAATGCCGATTTTCTTTTTTTTTTTCAAAATTTATTTTCTCCCATATTCTTGTTCAAAATAGCCTCATTAATCCAAATCGACTCATTGGATCGGTTCCCATTTCTTTTTACAAAAAGTATACAAAGTTTTGGAAGAAAAAAAGAAAGGTTCTTATACTTCCCCAATAACATAGAAAATATATATTTCTCCTCCCATCTAGCCGTCCAATTTAGATCAAGTGAGTCATTGACTGTTTGATCTAGATCTGACTTCTTAGAGTTTTTTATTTTTTTATTTTTCTACAAATCATATGAATATGAAATTTGGTACGTTCCATCTTCTGAATGGGATGCACATAAAAATAATATTAAAAATAATATTTCAATAAAATGTAACGATCAAAATACCCCTTAAAATTTTCAGGGGTATGTTGTTCATTTTATTTTATTGACAATTTTTAAAATGTTTGTTACAAGTGCAAGTTTAAAAGAGGAGTAGACGCTCAAAATTTGGTGTCAAAATATTTTGTATAAAATATTAAAAATAAAATAATATTGAGATGTGACATTATGATTGGGGCCATCACAGCCATCCATTTAGAATGGACGGTTGGATAGAGGGAAGTATATAAATTTTATTTAGTAGACAACTGTGATCGTGTAATGAAGTTTGGATGGTGATGAGGGTAGGCAAAATCACTGTTCATTTTCGCCTATAGGCGAAAAAAATGAAAAATGAAATACTACCGGATAACTGTGACCGTTCGATGAAGTTTGGATGGTGATGAGGGTAGGCGAAATCACTGTTTATTTTTGCCTATAGGCGTTGATAAGATTTTTCAATATATATATATATATATAAAATTTAAATATTAGAACTAAAAATATGTAATTATATTTATTTGAAGGGATTGTCTATAAAAAGACAATTTATTTTTTTGTAAATGGATGTTATAATCATTATTGTCCATTAAATTTCAAAATGGGTGGTTGCAAGAGTGTCATTGAATAGACAAAGTTTTAATTTTTTTTTCGAACTTTGTGACTCACCGCAAGCCATCAAATTTGATATCCAGTTGTGACATTTATATACGAAAGATAAATGGTCTCTTCGTAGACAATCTCTTATTTAAATATCATTTAAATATTATTGAAATATTATATATTAATATTTTTATAGAATAACACTATTCAGGTCAGATCCACATGACCTTAAACCTAGACTGGATAGTGCTCAGGTCCAATATTTGGACCTGTACCCGACCCGCCGGGTCCAAATCTTGGAACCATACAGGACTCAAGTTGGGTCCGGATGCTAGGTCTTGGATCCATTGCCACCCCTATATTAAAAAAGATTAAAAAAAGAAAAAAGAAAAAAAAAGAAGTGAGAAGCGGACCGGAGGAAAAAATATTCCTCTTGGATGATAAAAAGGGGTATTTTGTGTATTCTACATTGACAAGTTGAGGACAGGGCGGGGTATTTCTCACTTGGCAGAGACTCGCAAGAATCGCTACCCCACCACCCCATTTTTGAATGCTTCAAACGCGTTTTACGCGCATAATCCAACGCCATTCTCCACCAATCTCCTCACAATTCTATTTTACTACCAACTCCACACACGTCCATCTCTCTCTCTCTAAAGTCTGTTATACACTATTCACATTCACCTCTCTCTCTCTCTACTAATTCTATTCTACACTATTCACATTCACCCCTCTCTCTCTCTAAAGTTATTCTACACATTCACATTCACCTCTCTCTCTCTCTATTCGACACTTTTTTTTTTTTATCCGGAGTCCCTTTCAAGGAAATAGACTGTATTTGAAGTTCTTGACTCTCTATCTCTCTCTCCTTAAGTCAGTTCCCTATAAAGCTATTCATTCGATTTACATCATCCTAACGCACACTTTCTTGCTCTAACCAGTCCGTTACATCGTTACTGGCTCTATCTACGTTCCTTTCTCTCTCTCTAACCAGTCCCTTAAAAGGGTACTGGCTCAATCTACGTTCCCTGGTTCCTTCTTGACCAGATAGTCAAGAGATGATCAAAGAAGCCTATTTATTCGAAATCTCATTAAAACTCTTCACAGTTTTCTCAGTCCCACACACCTCGTAAAGTTTCAGAAGCGTTTACAATACAAAAGGAAAGTTGTAAAGAAGAAGTTCTTCTTGTTAAATCCATGAGCCTAAAATCATCGGTTTCTCTTCATTGTAGTGGAGCTTGATTATATAATTCAAAGGAAAAACAAGAGTTTCATAAGTACAGGGATAGGTTTCAAAATGCCAGGTGGTTTTCCCATTGGGTACCGGTTTTACCCTACTGAAGAAGAGCTGTTGAGTTTCTACTTAAAGAACAAGCTCGATGGTAACAGAGAAGCCCAAATCGATCGAATTATACCATTGGTTGACATCTACTCTTATGATCCATGGCAATTGCCAGGTAAGAATGAGCACTAGTTTGAGAGAGAGAGAGAGAGAGAGAGAGAGAGAGAGAGAGTGAGAGAGAGAGAGAGAGAGTGAGTGAGTTTATAAGACTTTATATTTGTTATATTTGGAGAGAGAGAGTCATTATGCTTTATAAGACATTATATTTGTTATATTTGGTGCACAAAGGTTTAGGGATCGAATCCCCATCCCCAGACGTAGGCTTAGTTCATTAATTTCAGAGAGTAGTACCTCAGGTCTGCCCCATTATTATTTTTAGCAGCTTTCTTTCTAAGGATCAATATTTTGAACTAGCATTTTTTTTCTTCTTCTTCTTGAAATTTGTTTTACTTCGATGAGTTTTGGGAATATTTCTTATATTTTGAATTATTAATTAAGACTTAATTTTTATGTGGATGATTACCAGTTATTGATGCTCTTTTCTTTGGTTTTGTTCTAAGAAGCATGAGGTCACCATTATTAAGCTCATCGTTGCACTAATGAGAATCAAAATTAACAAGATAACCTGAGATTCTTTTTTTGTTACTAGCTCGTACCACGAATTAAAATTAATAAGACCACCAAGAAATATTCTTGACGAGGATGTTGAGATGTATGAGTGGAAGAGATATAATTCGAAATGAATGTATTTGAGAAACCTTAAGTGTGGCTCCAATAGGTGATAAGATGAGCGAAAATAGAGTTAACTGGAAAGCCTGCCTTTATTGTATTTAATACTAAAAAAAAAGTAAAAAAGGAAGAGCTATACAAGACTTGTGAGTAGAATGCTTGAAGACTTCTGAAGGATGGTCCCAAATGAGGGGCCTTCTCCTATTTCTTTTATAGGCAGTTGGCCTCTAAACCAACAGTGTGGATCGTGCCACTTGCTAGCGATCCCACGGTTATGGACTCTTCATGACTTCTCTACAATTCTCTACACTTCTAGAGAGTTCCCTATGTGTTTCACACGTTAGACTACTAGAGGAGGGGCTTCTAGACCATCTGCGGCCTCCGGGGCTCTCTAGACCCTTATATACTCTTATTGTATATAAAAGGCCGGGCCCTATCAAACTAAGGTATACTTATCTCGGTTTGATCACCGATTTTGGGCCGGATGAGGTGCTAGTGGGTTTAAATAGAAGGCTTAGAAAAGGTAAAGATAGGTTAAAAAAGACATTGTTCAAAGTAATAAGAAAAGATACGAGAACTTATAGCTTGACAGAAGATATGGTCCTTCATAAAACAAAACGGTGGATCAAAATTCTTATATAGAAAATGCACTCAATTATTTCTTATGGAGTATGAATAGTAGCATTGCTTTCACCCACGTTATAATCATCCCTTCTTTCTCGCTCACTGTATCCTTTCCAATGCGATGATAGCAATTTTCACATTTGCTTCTCTCTACGGGTTTGATAACAAAAATACAGTGTCGCTCTATCTCTCTCTTTTGAACTGTGATAGGCCACTTTCACAATTGCTTTTCTCTCTGGGTTTGGCAACAAAAGAGAAATTTAGTTACAGGCTCGAAAACACTTCTATTACTACGTAATGCTCCATATTTGGGGTAATTTATGCTTAGGTACCCCACGCTCGTTTTTTTTCTCCTGCTTTATCCCTATGTCTCCACCAATGGATCAATTTTTTTATTTTTTATTTTTTATTTTCTCCAAGTGTAAGGCTATGACATTGTTTAAGGGTAACTTGGGGTCGGTACGATGTTCTAAATTTCATACTGTCAATATGTGGAATGATGTTTGGTTCATCATATTGATTTTTTCTCAGTGGCTTAGCCATAGACCAGGCAGTCTCGATGTTTTAGATATTGGACCTCTCAGTGTTTTAGATATTGGACCTCTAACTAGACTGAGCCCATTGGCGAGTATATCATCAGACTCTTAGCATGCCTCCTAAGTGGCACAAACATGGCAGTCGGATGAACATCAGACCGTATTACGACGGCCCGGTGTTCCATATACCGCATTATGACGCTGCAACGGCATACTCCACATTTAAAGGAAATACAAAAGATAAAAATGAAAAAACCAGTCCAAGGCTACAAACATCATTCCAAGGCAAAAAAAGTTATAATAATAATAATAATAATAATAATATTAATATAATAATAATAATAATAATAATAATAATAATAATAATAATAATTATTATTATTATCATTATTATTATTATTATCATCACGAGGAAGAGGGGGACCACATAATAAATTCTACCAGGAATGTTATGCGGTCCGTACATAATTTTCTAATGGCAAAAAAACAATTCCCTCCTCTATTTCCTTAAGTTCCAAAAATTAGTCAAAACTTCGGCCAAAGGTTTGCTCAGTTTCAACTTTGAAGCTTAATCCCCAAGCAATCACCAAAAGAGAGAACAAATAATCTCGAAACAATATAAAGCCAAATTTTCGTTTCGCGAAATTTCCATAAATCGAGGTTGTGTAATATAATCTCTTAAAAAAGTGTTGTGAAATGAAATGGGGTTGTGTATGGTTGCAGCGAGGGCGGCAGAGGCCAATATTGGAGACGGGGAGCAGTGGTTCTTCTTTGTAAGGATTCAGGAGCGAGAAACACATGGAGGGAGGCCTAACCGTATAGCGCCCTCTGGTTACTGGAAGGCGACCGGGACTCCCGGTTACGTGTATTCATCAAATAACGGAGTGATAGGATTGAGAAAGAGCCTGGTGTTTTACACGGGGAGAGCACCATATGGGAGGAAGACCAAGTGGAAGATGAACGAATACAAGCTGAGGATTGTGGAGACTAACGGTGATGATGTTGCCTCTTCTTCTTCTCATGGTGCAACAACTTTTGCGGTAATGTCACCATCTATGGATTGTTTTTTTCTTTTTGTAGAAGTTTATTTAAGGTTGATACCTTAAATTGTAGAATTAAATCCAACGTAAAGAATCCATTGAAAAAGGTTATTTTGACATTGAAAAACCATCTAATTAATCATCTCGACATCTAGATGTATGAATATGGAAAAAAAAGAAGAAGATTTTAAGCCTAAAAAATAGTACATCTTGCAACACATTATTTAGACTATCTATTTTCAAAATTCGCATGAGTTTATGAACCATTTGATTTCAAATTTTTTCAGATTTTCAAATTTTTATAATTAAAAATAAAAATATATTATCGGGGCCATTGTAAGAGTTTTTGACACGAAAATTACATCTTATACGTGTCTTACCTTTTTTGTTTTTTTGGGTAATTTAGTGCGTGTACCCCGTTTTTTTAAATGGTTAAATTTTCAAAGCTGTCAATGACATTGGAGAGCACAATATGTGACTAAGGTATGGGAGGTTTAAAGTTGCAATCTTACATAACCCACGCACTTTTTGCTTTGGGAGTGGGAGTAATTTATCTATTTTCTCTCTCACGGAGGAGAGAGAGCTATTTTCCCTCGCTTCATAGAGAGAAAAGAGGAGGTTCTCACTTTTCGAGAGAGGGTAGAGAGCCTATAAATGTGTTCTCTCTCTCTAGAGTGCGGGAGGGGGATGAGAGAGAAACTATCAACAAGGGGCCGTGTTCGCTCTTTATCTAAAGATTACAAGGCCATGGGGGGAGGGAGAGCGACTCTGAATCTTTTCTCTCTCTAAAAATACAGAGGGAAGGGGAACTATAAAAAAACGAGGGTTGTGTTCTCTCTCTTGCTACATATTCTTCTTTTCTATAGAAAGCGTGTTTGTAATGTGACTCTTGAAGTGAAAAGAGAAAGGGACAGAGAGATTTTAGGAATTCCATGTCTTTTTCTCTGACGAAATTCCATGTCTCCTTTCATGAGGAAAGAGGAAGGAAGGTTCGCGTTTTTTTTTTTCCCTTTTTTGGTTTTTGTTCTTTAGTAATCAAAAGGGAGAGGGTCCCCTGCAACATTGCAAGAAAGGCAACTATTTAGATTTGATGGTGTAAATAAGTTTTTACCCGAGCATATAAATCTACAAAGTGCTCCAACATGAGCACTTTTTAATACCATTTCTAAGTAGCATCTAAGAAATTTAATAATAAAATTAGACACGGGTAAAGCCTCTAGGTGGCTATCTAAGGCAACAATAATTCCCAAATTGAATAGTTTCCAAGTGTAAACTTTTTTGAAGCCAAAAGTAGATTATAAGATTTAGAATGTTTGTGCCTTTTTTTGGTTAGATGTTGCAATAATAGAGGGAAAGAAATATAGTGTTATTTTAAAGAAGGGTAAGGTTTGTATAAGGCTCCCTCGTCATGCTGTAGAAGTAAGGCACACCTCTATAATTCACTTCGAGATATAGTTTCGGGGTTGGAAGCTTAAGACACACCTCTATAATTTACTTTGAGATATAGTTTCGTGGTTAGAAAACTTGTGAAGGCTTTTAAAATCTATTTTTTTCCTAGTTATGAAATTTAAATTAGTACAGATTGAGCAGTTCTATAAACACTTAAAAATCTTAAAAATAGACGGTTTAGATAAGTTGTTACAAGATGCATCTTTTGATAATTTGAAAATATTTTTTCTTCATATCCACATATCTCAAGGTTGATAAGATCGATTGGAGGGTTCTCCAACGAAATCTCTTTTGATTTTTTATATGCACCTTACTTCAATAATATAATAATATAAGTTTGCAACATTATATAAACATTTTCCTTTAAAGAAATGGAAGCTAAGCTCTTGTGGGAGTAAAATGTACATTTATTTCCTCAGGTAAAACTTAACCTCGTTGGAACTCCAAAATTTAACCACGTTGGAACTCCAAAATTTGAAGAGATAACCTCTTCAACCCAAGTGACTGACTTTATACAAAATTCACTTAGATCCACTGATCTGGGTCCATGGATAAGGTCTTAGTTCATAGTTCTATGAGTTTTGAGTTTGGAAACAACATACTTTTATTTATTTATTTTTTCCCTTTTTCTGTTTGTAAATTTCTTCAGTTATTGTCATTTGCAGGTTCGGCGTGAGATGAGCCTGTGTCGTATTTATGTGAAATCAGGAGTCCTAAGACAATTTGATCGAAGGCCCCCAGTTATACCAGCTATTCAAGAACCAGGTCCTGGTCCAAGTTCAAGTACTTGGACTGAAAACCCTAACCAGCAACCCACTAATGAAATGATCGATGACAATGTCTCCGAGGGGTTGAATCTTGACAGGGATGAGGCGGGGACTTGGGATCCAATGGCTGATGATTTTGCATATTGGGAGTTGATGGATGACGAAATCGTCAATTTGGAGTCATGGAATTCCATATAAAATTTAACTCTTGTGGATTGTCAAAGTGTAATTCAAAATAACTCACAATAGCAGTAGGTTTACACATTCTTAGGAATGCATGAGAAATTTACAGATCTAGGGTGGAAAGTTCATGCCTGGAGAATTTCATTGTCAAGTGAGCGAATTCTTTATTAACTGTAAGCCATACAAACCATAGGGATCACCTTTTAATTATTTTTTTCCCCATTTGGGTAGTCCAACATTCATTTTACTTTTTGGGGGTGGAAGAAAGGTCAGTGTGGTTAGATTTATTTTGATGTCAGATGATTCATGAAGGTTCATAATACAAGCGCATCTCAAGTCTTGAGCTTGGATATAGATATATTGCAATTTTACATTGAGATAAGGGATTGTATACAATGACCGATTACTTTGGTGTATGGAGGTCACAATTACTTACAACCATCCGATTTTAAATAAGATAGCTTGGGTGTGTTACAAAATTCAAGAAAATTTATGTGAACTTTCAGCTTGGTTAATAAAATAAATGCAGCCACCGAATTCCACATCCAATCATTAAGATTAATTGTGACCACCTTGTACAAAAGGCAAATGGTCTCTTTATATACTTTCTCTTGAAATAAACTTATCTTTCAGTAGGAAAATGCTATTGACACACACATGGCTTGGGGTGCAATAGGTTGGGTGGTCGAATCCACTTGGATTGCTAGGACCTAAAAAATAAGGGTCTGGGCTATAAGATGTCGCCCTAGGGCCTGGCCACCATGGCCTAGGGGTAAGGCAAAGCCTAGCCTGGCTAGGTCCATGATAGGGCCAACCCTCCTTGGCACTTTTTTCTTATTCATTTTCTCTTTATATTTGTTGGATTATGTTTGGTCCATCCTGACAGGGCCCTGGTCTCCTTGGCTTGATCAGGGCTGGGGTAGGGACAAGGTTGGCCCTGTGCATGCCTAGTTGGGCTAGGGCCAACCCTGTAAACATGAGAGATGGGCTAGGGCCAAGCTGACACAGGGCATGCCCAACCTTTTGCCAGTTGACATCTCATTTGATTGTAATGTAGTATTTCATACATTTATAAATAGTAAAGGGTTAGGGCTTCATCATCATTATCATATGAGCCTTTTTCCAATCTATTTGGAGTTGGCAATGCGATTCTTGGTTTGTCATTCTACTTTATCAAATGCCATACCCTCAGTAAGGTCATAAGACCCTATATCTTTTCTCACTAGTTCTAATTATGGCTTTTAGAGCCTACTTCTTGCTTTTTTTTTAGCCTTTCACTTGAACTAACTTGCATCTCTTAACCGGTGTTGTACTGGGTCCGCGTTTCATGTGGCCAACCTACCTAAATCTATTTTATCTCATCTTATCGTTTATTGGTGCCACACCTAAAATTTTCCAAATGTATTCATTTAAAATTCTATCTCTTCCTATCTTGCGACTCATCCATTTTATTATCTTCAAGGGGGTACACCACGGGTCTTTTAGGCTTAGTGCTATATTTGTTAGAGAGAGACTGTTTTTTGAAATATTGTATAGGGCTTTAGTAATTCTTTTATTCTTTACCCTTAAGGGGCCGTTTTGGTAGCTGAAAATCTATTACAGGGAAACATATTACAAGAAAATATGAGATTACAATATTTGGGTACACTTCAACAGTACGAAAATGAAAATAAATTACACAAGATTTCCCAATACATGAATCTATTACACGTATAATCGTTGTGAAATCCTTTACTCGCGTACTTGGTAATCTAACTACGTGACTCTCTTACCCCAAAAAAACTCAATCTCCCGCCATTCTCCCTCTCTCCTGCGCACATCCATTTCTACTTTCTCTATCTAAACTCTCTATAAACTCCACTTATAAGTGTTTGCACATACTGCGTACATCCATTTCTTCCATTTCTACACTCTCCTGTACACATCCATTTTTATATCTTTCTATCCCCAATTTGGGTTGTAGCACTCATATGAAGCCATCTAACTCTCATATAAAAACAAAAATAATAAAAATAATAATTGGTAATCAATGAGACATTATACAACACAATCATAATAAAAAATTTCACACAACATAATCCTCATAAGAGATTAGTAAAAGCTCAATTGAAATAAGATACCTCTCTAGTTCCTCCAATGCCTAAAATGTTTTACTGCAATTACCAAACCTTTTAGTTTACTAATCCAACTTCTTCTCCTTTTTTAACTTATAATATAAAGATTTTGAATTTGGTATCATAAATTTATTGTTTATTTGAAATTATATTGAGAGACATTTGAACGACTTCTATAAAAAATGAATAAAAATAAGGCTTATCACAATAATATCATGTTATTCCAATGGCTTATCATGTTGAAACCAAAGTCTAATCATGTTAGAAGACATGTGATTCCATGTAAGTACCAAAGGCATACAAAATAAGTAGAAAATGATGTCATGTTGACTTTAGAATGGTACAAGTTATTATTATAAAATCTTTTTGGAATAGTGATGATGTTATTATTAGAAAATCTTTTTGAAATGGTGTAATGATGACGTTAATTCGCATTTCAGTGAAATTTTGTGACAAAAAAGAAAGAAATGATAGTTTATAGGCAAGGGCTGGTAAAATATTGATAATGCATTTTCCATATTTCTTTCAGACATAGCTAAACAGTAGCAATGCATTTTCCAGGTTGTATCTAAATACTACGCAAACAATAACAATCCATTTATAAACAATGTATTAAGCAGTAACGTATTACGTTAGTAATATATTTCACAGACAATATATTCCAAGTATCCTAACGACACTAAGGTAAAGTACTATCATTATATATATATATATATATATATATATATATATATAAACATACTACATATGTAAACAGAAGATGTATGTGTTCTCTTCACTTGCTCTCTAGGGTTTCCTAAGTTTAACAATATTGCTATCTTAATTGAGCGTTTGCCCTTTCCTAGAGGCATAAATAAATGGACATACTCGTGGTTGCACGCTTAGATAAACTCATTTTGGCATGCAACCACTTCGTAATATGAACTCATTTTGGCATGCAACCGCTTCGTAATATCAATTTATGTGGGTTTGTTGTTGCTGCAAACTTGCAAGGCCACGAATACCGAAAGTGTGCATGCATACACGTCCGCGCTTGCATGGACTGATCTCTCCCAATAACTGGATGCCATGTGAACGTGTTTGCATGCACATGTTCCCGTATACAAAGTGTGTCTCATGCATATGCATCTAGCTTTCATGAATAGATGCATCTTGGTCGTCCTCCGGTGTTTTATATTCGTGTGCATAAGTCTTTCTCTCTAACATAAATTTAACCAAAGTTTTTTTTAGCAACTTTTACGTCAAATTGAATTTTTCTAGCAAATACCTTTAAATTAAAAAAGTTATATTTTAATTTTTTTAATGAAAATGCCCATAGTTCTTGACCGTACCGTCCCCATTTTGTGCTGGATTGCATGCTCAAAGTGTTAGACTATCCTTATTTTATGTCAGGCCACATGCTTTCTAGATGCTCAAAGTGTCGGACCACATGCCCAAAAATTCAGACCACCCCAATTTTGTGCTGGACTGCATGCTTTCTAAAAGCAAAGTGCAGGACCGCCCACATTTTATACCAGACCGCATGCCTAAAGTGCCGGACCACCTTTATTTGGTATCGGACCGCCCTCATTTTGTGCTAGACTGCATGCCTTCCATAAAGGATTTCGGTCTTCATTTTACCTTTTTTATGACTTGGAGGTATTTGCTAAGAAATTTAAATTTGGAGTAAAAATTGTTAATAAAGCTAACTTGGGGGAAGTTGCCTAGAAGATTTTGGGGGGTTTTTGTAATTTCCCAAACTTTTTATTCATTCATGAATCACAATACGAAAAAATAGCAGTCTTAAGATACATAAGAACTCTCTCTCTCTCTCTATACACATGTATTTCACTTTTTGATGCAAATAAAAAAAAAATTTATTATTTTTTAATGGGTTATCCTTTTTTTTTTAAGAATTGGGTGGGTGTGACGTGAGTTTGTTTTTTGTGGTTAGGGAATTGGATTTTAGGATAAGCTTGGCTTGATTGGTTTTAAAGAGATAATTTAGTCATGGTTGGAGTTTTCAGGATATATTGGGGTAACTTGGGCTTACCTGACAAAGTCCTGTTGACACGTATGGCTATGAGGCTTTACGTGTCTAAGCCTACATTTGTAGAAATACATATATTTAACGGTCATATGGTCCAACGTCCATATGAATGTTGGATATCCCTGAGATCAGGGAGCCCCTCGTTTTTCAGAGACCCGTTGGAGAAATACAACGGTTACCCCTCCTTCTCCCTATAAAATGGGAAGCCATAGAGAGGATGCGAACATCAAGGAAAAGACGTACAACTGTGTACAGTTCTCTCTCTTAAAAGTGAAGGGATAAAAAATCCAGGCTCTACAATCACGAGCCTTGCGGCACCCTTTCTCTGATATCGGCTTTAGTCTCTTCCACGCTTCATCAATTTTTACTGTCTATGGTATTAGAGCGCGGTTGCTATAATGATTTTGGTGCTGTTGTAATTTTCTCAATTTTGTGCCTTTTCTTTGCTGTCCCGTGTGCCTGAGCCTTGAGTTCTTTCCTTAATTTTTTTTGTTTTATTTATTTATTTGTTATCATCGTTTTGGAAGGTTGCCATCTTCTACTTTAGAAAAGTAAACACTTTTTCAAAACAATAAATCTCTATTGACATTATTGCAGTGAATTTCAGTGCATACCACTGATTGTCACTGAATATCATGCATTTTAATAAGCACGTATAGTTTCGAGGAACCTTAATCTGGCGCTTTAGACGAACTCGACCATCACAACGCATGTATATCTTATTCCTTTATCATCGCAATTGTTTAAAGGATTAGCATGTATATCTTTATTTAAGAGATTGCTTGGAATTACAAAGTGATATTGATAGAATGCTGCAAGAATAGATATTTTAGATTTCATATGGTAGAATTTTGTGTCATAGAGATATAATC